TATATACACATATATATATATATGTCTATATGTTCATATTTTTAAAAATATGGTTGAATATGTTTGAGTCTTTTCTAATAGGATTGTAAATTTTAATTAGTTTATTATTATTTTTTAAATAAAATGAAAAACAAAAACATAATGGTTGACATTATAAATAATCAAGGGGGGTGGGAATCCTCGTAGGGATGGGGATCCCTGTGGAGACAGGGATGTGGATAACTTTGTACCCATTAGTGGGGATGGGGATTTTCTCAGGGACGGGGATAAGGAGAGGCTCCTCGTCCCCGCCCCATGCCATTTCTATCCAACTAACCAAACTAACTAAAATCGAATGACCTGATAATAGATATATATTAATATTTTATATTTTAAATATATTTTTTAAAATATGAAAGTTGGAAAATTCTAATATTTCTTAGGCTAAAATATTTTATATCATAAATTTATTTTTTAATAATGCCATTGTATTTTTTTAATTTAAAGTTAATTTTTAAATTTAATTTTTTAAGTTTAAATCTTTTGAACCGACTTACCAAATCGAAAATTAACCCAAACCGATATAACCTAAGTGACCAACTGCCTAACTTGACCAGGTCGATTTGGTTGGCCAAACAACCTATAACTGAACCAAACCAACCCGTGAACAATAGTTTAGTCTCCAATAATTATTAAAAATTTATAGCAAAAATACACAATAAATTAAATTTAAAAATCTAAATAAGAGTAGTTTAAACTCTAATAATTATTGAAAATTTTCTATTAAATAAGAAACAAAAATAGATTTATACATAATTATTGAAAATATATTTATCACAAAAACAATAAATAATTACTAAAATACAATAAATATTAATTTTAGTATATATAAACATATAATAAATATAGATTAAGTTTTTAAAATTATTATTAATAAACACTAATTTTTTTGAAAGTTATTCTCTAGAATTATTAATTGATATAAATGAAATTAGTTATTTACAATATTATTTATTTACTGCAATAATATCATTATTTAAATTTTAAAATATTAATTACTTGTTGAATTTAGTAATCCATAAAATTATAGTACTATTAATACATAATTTTGTTATTTTAACTATTTAAAATCTAGTTATGTTAAATATTTCATTGTTTAAAATATTTATTTATTTAACTAAATATTTAAAATCTTAATCTATTTATTATAATTGAAAGTTATTTAGTAACTATTTAAAATATTAATTTTAATATTTTTTTATTTAAGATATTTAGTTATTGAAATATTTAAATAATATTTCATCTTTTAATGTTAGATTTTTATTATTTGAATAACATTTAGAGTGAATAATCAAAGAAATCATAATTTATATTGTTTGACATAATTTCGTGATGAGTTTTGTAAAATATATAATTATTAATAATATGAATATTATTAAATCAATTATATTTTTTTACCATTTTAATAAATATTTTAAAGTTATTATATAATTTTGTTAGAATATTTAAATAATTCTTAAATTTTTTAATTCAAAATTTCTTTAGATAGATGTAGATAAAAAGCGGGGGAGAAGATAAATAAGAATGAAAGATAATTTATGAGAGAAACTCTCTACTAAATTAGAGATAACTTAGGAGAAAGTTGGGAATAGTGGGGGAGGTTGTTTAGGAGAAATTTTAGGATATTAGATTATTTAGGTTATTGGAACATGTGTGTGGGGGAGAGAGAGAGAGAGAAAGAGAGATTTTAGGAAGACTTTTTTTGGGGAAAGTAAAGTTTCTAATTGGTAGTTTCAAAAATGACATGGATTAAAAAAATAAAAAAAAAAAGAAAAAAAATTCTAGACTTCGTTGTTTTAATATATACCAAGGGACCTGTGTGCGATGCTTGGGATTTGTCAAAGGAAAGTAAAATAAACAACAAAATATGATAAATATTAGCCATATAATATTCTCAATTGGGCCCAATTGGTTCAAGTATAGCAATGGCAATGGGTCAGATTCAAGGTGGGGATCATACACCCCATCTTTTACCCCAAATTTTTAAGTAACTACCCCAATTTTAAAAATATTTAATATATTAATATATTACATTCAAGGTTGGGTCGGGGTGGGGACTTCAGTCCTCACAATCCTCAGTACCTAGTAGGGATGGGGAAAATTGCCATCTCTATCCAAGTCCCAAGTATCATTTTGTAGGTTGTGTTTATCCACTCTATTATTTACCCATCAATGTAGAATTGCAATTAATTAAGATCCACTTAAGTTAAATAAATAATCAATTAATCTAGATTACATGAGTGTGGTGTTTTCAAATAAATATTACTAAATATAATAATTGCTAAAATTATCATAAAATAAATAATTTTGAGAAAAACAATTTTTATGTTATTGATAATTACTGTAATTATTCAAAATTATCATAAAACAATTATTTATTTTATTTTCAATAATTCTATATTAACAATTATTTAATTTATTGAATAAAAACAATTTTTTCAAAATGAAATTAAATTTCACATTACTTATTTAAATTTTAAATAGTTGTATTATACTAACAATTGAAATTAAATATAATTTCACATTAATTAATTAGTGAGAGTTATTGTTGAATAATTCTACATTAATTAATAAATTTTAATAATTACTAATGAATGAAAATAATTACAATAGTTCGTCTTAATAATTTAACAATAATTTTGAATAATTAATTATTTAATTATGAGAAAATTGACTATTTAATTATGATAAAAACAATTATTTAATTACTGTAATTATTCTAAATTACCATAAACTAAATAATATTGAGAAAAAAATATTCATGTTATTGATAATTACTGTAATTATTCAAAATTATCATAAGATAATTATTGATTTTATTTTCAATAATTCTATACTACTAACAATTATTTAATTTATTCAATAACAACAAATTTTTAAAATTATTTATTTTATTGTTAATTATCTAAATATGTGGAAACAATTATTTATATTATTGTTAGTTATTGTAATTTTTCAAAATTATCATAAAATAAATAATTATTCAAGGTTACACGTCACTTAAGAGTAATGGGTCGGACCTGAATCCAACAGAAAAGAGATTTGACCAATACCCAACCCATTTAAACCATCTCTTTTGCCCGAATAGCTTCTACAGTGTTTTCTTTTTTAAGCAAACACAACAACTTCGAATGGGTTAGAGCGTTTCTTAGACAAATTTCAGAGGGGAAATTATGACCAACCAGAAATACAAATAAGGCATTCTAATTACGTTGGGAATCTGAGATAGAGTATAAATCAGCAAATTAATAAACTTGGTGGCGATGTGCTTTGAGTGACTTACCTGGGAAAACTGATTAACGGAGGTATCAGGTATGATATAAGTGATTTTAAATGGCCCTTAGTGAAGGTGTTTTAGGTGAAATCACTCATATCATACCTTTGTTCTTACGATCCTTCTCAAAAAGATTTATCTCAGTTCAATGGTTTTCAGTGATCCTCGAAGCCGATGGATTTGTCAGAGATTAGAGATTGAGTGCGATTTATATTTTAAAGATATAGAGAAAGGCGATTTGTTGGCGATACAAAGCCATCGAAGTTTGTAGGAAGTCGGAAGGGATGCTTGGGAATCCAAGCTCCACTGAAAAATCATCCAATTCTAACTGCATTATCTGGTTATTTTCCAATCCTATCTCCCTTTGCTCTGCTAGTCTGCTTTACTACTGCTTCCTTCCTTGGCTTCGCACGCTCAAAGTTCCTAGCTTCTGCTGTTGTCATGAGAATTATGCGTGTGTAACTTGCTTGCAGACATGGCAATGTCTGTTTTCAAAACAGGGTAAAAATCAGAATATTGGCGTAACACACCTGCTAGTTTCAGTAGTTTGTAATTCAAAGCATGGGTATTGATTCTATTGAATAATTCTTTTGGCGCATAATAACGACAAAAACAAAAAATAACGGGAGAAAGGAAAGGACTTGTGAGATGTAGGGAAAAAAAG